TAGCTACATCAGGGCATGTTTGAGAGTGAAAGGGGTGCTGGTAACCATGTGATCAGAGACTGTGCTGATTACACAGGACATCTGGTCACGGATCTCAGGGGTCATTGGGTTTAAAGGGCCCCAGACCCGCTCAGCCTGTCTTTAGGAAGACGAGAAGCTGGTTGTCTCGATGTTGGGCGAGTCCTTCCAGAACCCGAGGCCTGAGGACCACACTGCCTTCCAGCTCTGGGTTCGCATGTGTGTCTACACTCCAGAAATGAACAGAATCTCTCTGCAGATTGGAAGTTTCTAAAAGGGGGCGTCTGTTTGGCTCAGCATGGGCTGCGGTCCATCCTGCTTCACCCCGTATCACCAGGCTTCTACCCAAGGCCCGAGAGCAGGTGGAGTGGTTAGTCACTCTCCCACTGGGATGAGGTGTCACTACCCACATTTCCTAGATGAAGAAGCTGAAAGGAAGAGATGGCCGGTGACGCCCAAAGTTACCTTGTGAGTAGGTGTCAGAGCTCGGGTGGAAAACCAAAGCACTGGCTTGTCCTAGAAGTTTGCTCCTGTGATGGTCATGTGTTTACAGAGCAATCAATACTAATTTCAGTATTAATATACTCCAGAAATAAATAGTTCCAACGGAGGCAGCATCTTAAATATTAAGATGTGGTTACCCTCGACATTAGCAGGCTCCTGATGGGGTTTTCTCATTTTCCAGCATGTCAAGTTCAGAAGCTGCCAGCCATGAAATTACGGTATGTTTTGGGAAACGTTCACGGAAGCACAGTTGAGATGACCCATTTCATTTCTTGGTGACGGAGATGCTCTGTGAGACACACAGACATGATTGGGGTGGCCTGTGGCATTTCTCTTGTTTGGCTTTCAGCAGAGACACCCCGTTATTGGCAGTGGTGGATCAGCCTTGCTGAGCTCAGCTAACATCTGTAGACCAGTTATTGGAGTGATTTCCTCTAATTATAGACCAACAAATACGGGCAGGCGGAAACCTGTGGAGGCCATCAGAGGCCTGGAAAAACCATCCATCGATGTGATAAAAAGAGTTAAGGAGTCAAAGTAATTGGCTAAATCGATAACCCAGCTAAAGACCCGGAAGGGCTTAGGGTCAAACGATTTTACTGAGTTTATTTCCCTGCAGAAAAGGTCGGGGAGCCAGTGTCTTCTTGCGCAGGATTCTCTGGTCCGTCCGTCCGTCCGTCTGTAAGTGCCTGGCCAGCGCGGGGTCGGTCAGGGCCACGCACGGCTGTTGGTGTGAGGAGGGGGGTGGGCTCTTTCCTTCTTCTCTCCGTGACGAGGTCTCTGTGCTTCCCATCTTGTCACCACTGCCTCTGGGGAGCGTCCCCTTGCTCGATGTCACTGCCGGTTTCAGAGGAGGGCCCTGAGACCATTGTAGACTGTCCACGTGGAGGAGCTGTGGACACACACACGGGGGGTGAGTGGGGCAGAGTGTTTGTGGCAATGAGTGGGCTGCCTCTGACTGAGAGGTGCAGAGCAGAGTCTGGGCAACACACAGATGCTGCTCCCGGGGGGTGAAAGGCACTCAGGAGGTGCCGCCCGTCCCCCCGGGACAGTGACCTTGAGAAGCAGCGACCAACGTAAACACCCTTGATCAGGATTTAGAGGCTGTCGTGTGAACGTGCTCGCACCGATTGCATGGAGGGCGTTGACCGTGGACACGTGTCTATGTAGACAGAACACTGCAGCTGCACAGAAGGTCCGCTGTGCAACACATGGTGACGCTGACACTGAGGTTGAGGCCATGAACTTGCCTTCCCAGGAATCAGCAAGACGCTGGTTTCCAAATGTGCAAAGGACACACTTTTGCTAATAAAAATATTCTGTTTTGTCTAGATCCCCAGGGACAAAGGGGTGGAGAATCTCCGATCAGGTGTTATCAGGGTGTCTGCGATTACATCTGGGCATTAATTTTCTCAAAGGACCAGATAAAGAATTCTTTTAAATTCTGGATGCTTCTTTAAAAAAAAATTGTCCGATTCACTTTTAGGAAGATCAGTATATTTTAAGATACAGGACAGAGTCTCATTTACTAAGGAGAATTGGTAAAAGATGTTACTTCCCCATGTGCCCTGAACTCTGGTTGTAACCCCAGTGGGATCAGTTCAGGCTGGGAACACTTCTTCCTCTGCAGTAACTTACAGAAGTCTTAGACCCCCCAAAATCATGTATTGAAAACGACTGAACACAAACTCTAAAAGGAGAAGTATTTTCGTGTGTGTGGTTGCAAGATGCCTGTGTGTTTTATTGTAACAAACAGTCAATAAATAAACGGGCGGGTTCAAGGTCTTCTCTACTTAAGGACCTGGCCAGGACCATTCGAAGTGTGGCTAAGACATTGTTTGCAGCCCTGGTTCCACGTCAGCTCCTTTTTCCCTCGTATTAGCCCAGTTCTGCTGTCTCAATGTGCATACCCCATAAGGTGTCCTCTCTCATGATTTTGCAGTGAGGTGTGGCGTTTCCATTTCAACGTCTGTCTTTATTGCTGTTTTCAGAGAGTCTGTAGTGCTTCTATCTGCAAGTGCTCAAATTTTAAATATAGTTTTGTGAGGAGTTTGCTGTCCAGATGCTCTGCAAAGTCCCGGCTGCTCTTTATTATAAACGGGGGTGATGCTGCCTTTTTCATCTGTCCCCGCCACAGTGCCACAGGGGAGGGCAGCAAGGGCACAGCCAGGCCCTTGGCAGGAGGGCTCCTTCTGGCTCGAGCTCCGAGTCGAGCGGGCCCCTCGTGGAGACGCTGGAACTTCTCCGTGGGGACGGCGGCCTGGGGCCCTGCTCTCGCTGGCTCCACGCCCAGCCTGATGTGGGGACCCTGCCAAACAGAATCCCTGTCTCTCGCGGGCCTGGTGGGTTTGAGACGGAAGTAAAGTTACAAGAAGGTAACGTGTCCTTTTGTACCTGGATTGGGGGGCGGTGACAGTGATGCGGGTTTGTTCCCTTTGCTTATAGAGTTCACAGAGTGTCGTTCAGGATGGGTAAGGGTCACCGTGCATTTTTCAGAAGCAGGACTTGCCTGTGTGAGAAGAAGAGCCTCGCGAAGTTACGTTTCAGGGCTGAGGCTGGAGATCTCTGGAGTTTCCAGAGCAAAGACCGACCCTGGTGCCCGACCTGACGCTTTAGTCCTTGTCATAAGGGAGCAGCTGGGAACAGAATCCTGGAAGGACAGTCTGGGGTGACGGGACAGATTGTTTGAATTGACTACGTGTGTGATGTAGGGCCTTACGTTTTATAAGGTTTTGCTTCTTTCCAGATATGTAGTGGTTCCTCTCTCTCTCTCTCTGTCCGTGTATACACACACACACACACACACGTGTATGCACACGTACATATACATACACAGGAAGAGGAGGAATCAATATATATGGATATGTACATGTGTGCATATCTATGCATGTATGTGTCTGAACATGTCTGCCCATGTGTGTGTGTGTGTGCATACATCGTACACACATGCACACACGCAGTCACCTAAACTGGAAAAGGACCTGGGTGGCATATTGATGCGTGTGGGCTCCGTCTCCAGGGAAAACCCCATCTTGGTCAGAACGTTTGCCCTAGTGTTGTTTGGCTTCTCCTAGAACGTTCTCCGATTACAGCCTCAGCCACTTTCAGAAGAGCGACCCTCCTTGGCGGCAGTTTCCCGGGGTCCCATCGCGATTCCCAGGCTCTGCGTGGCCTCGTGCGGTTATAACAGCAGAGGACCCATGCCTGAGGCTGTTTTGCACGCTCTCACCTCAGTCTCCTGTCTGTTCAACACATCACGCTCTAAACTTCCCTTGTGCCAGGCACTGGGATGGCAGAGACTCTAAACATATGGTCCTTTCAAAGCAACTCATTTTCTGGTTAGAAAGGGATATCTAGAAAATAATCCTAATGTGATATAAATAAGTACAGTAATAGAGACAGAGCTGGCACCGTAGTTAAAGAAACCGTTTTTGATTTAAGCGATTGGTGAGTCAGGGAAGGGCCGGGAGCAAGTGTGCAGAGTTCCGGCCCGCGGGGCCCAGGGGTGATGGGAGGAGTTCCGGCCCGCGGGGCCCAGGGGTGATGGGAGGAGTTCCGGCCCCCGGGGCCCGGGGTGATGGGAGGAGACCCTCTCCCACATGCAGGTCCTACTTTGTGTGCCTCCACCTCTCCCACCGCCAAGGCTCAGAGCCACACCTGGCGGCTGCCACGTGCCAGTGCACTTTACATTATGCTGGAGAAGTGGCAGCACAGCGGGATCAGGGCAGGACCAGGCAGGTGTGTGGGGCTGTCCTGAGGACAGGGGCCTGTGGACGCACAGTGGGGACAGTGAGCCCTCAACGCCTGTCAGCCCTGGGGCCTTCCTAGCCGTGAGCATCGTGGGCCTGGCTGGAGCCCCCGCGAGAAAGACAGATACAAAGTAAGAGACAGAATGGGAGGTTCTGGGGAGCTCGTAGACAGCCGTGGGCGCTGAAAGCACAGCAGACGCTCCCTCTGGACCAGATGTCAGGTGACAAGGGTGAGGAGACCACCGCGTGCGCGCGCCTCGGGGGTGGGGGGAGGCCGCCCGTGCGCTTGGCCGCCACCTCGTACCGTCGGCGCCCACGTAGTCCTGGACCTGCGGTAGACGGAGCTGGTCCCCAAGGGCTCCAGAGACCGCGGATCACCGAGCCATCCTGCCGAGGAAGAGCCAGGGAGCCCGAGGTGCTCCGGCAACACTGGCGGCCATCATTCTCCTCGGTGCCGGCCCTTCTGCCGTTACGGGCCGACCGTCTTGTTTCCCCCACCAGGTGTCGTGCACATCTCTCCTCTGACAGCCCACAGTGACTTCAGGTCACTGTAAACGGTAAATCGTTGATCTTCGCTGAATGGTTGGTTCCAGGTTTGGTTTTTCAGACGATGAAGCACGTCTCCTCGGATACATCTCGCGGTGTGTGACGCCCGGACCCCCTCACCCCGTGATCTGAACCACCGGCTGTGCCGCGAATTTTCTAACAATGTTTTTCTTTTCTTTGCAGGTCACTTACAGTAAGACAATTTTCTTAATTTGTCACTGCATTCATCTCCATATCTGGAAACTGAAAAAATTCACAACAATGGCAGAAGACCACAAGAAGTTCTGTTACTGTTTACCTATTTATTTTGTCATCTTGAATCAAAAACATTGAAAAGTGAAATTAAACATCTATAAAATATTTGGTCTGACTCAGATTTCTTCTCTTTTAACTTCAGCTTTGTTAAGGAATAAGTGACATAAAATTGTGAGATATATGTGTGTGTCACAGTGATTTGGTAGAGGTATGTACTGTAAGGGAATCCCCACTATTATAGTTAATTAACATACCTATCATCTCACATATTTATCCATTTTTGTTGGTGGTGAGACATTTAAGTTATACTCTCTTCGCAAATGTCAGTGATACAATGCAGTGTTATCACCTGTTCAGATCAGGTCCTCAGGTCTTACCCACTTAGCGCTGAGAGTCTGTGCCCTTTTACCAGCTGTCTCCCCAGCCCCAGCCCCAGCCACCACTTTGCTACTCTCCGTTTCTATGAATTTGACTTATTTTTTGTTTTTGTTTTGAATATAAGTGACACTATGCAGCATTTGTCTTTTTGTGTCTGACTTATCTCACTTAGCATAATATCCTCAAGGTCCATCTATGTTGTCACGGTGGCAAGAGTTCTTTCTTTTTCATGGCTGAATAGTATTCCATTGTGTGTGTGTGTGTGTGTGTGTGTGTGTGTGTGTGTGTGTGTGTATTATATATGATATGTAATATATATACTGTATCTTCTTTATCTGTTCATCCGTCGATGGACACTTAAGTTATTTCCATAATAACTCAAACTTCTTATTCAAGTGAAATGTTAAGTTATATATGAACTTTATTTATATATAACTTAACATTTAATGACAATCTAATCTTTCAGTTATCTTATTTAGCTGAAATATTTATTAAAATGCCCACAAGAGTAGTGACAAGTTTTAAAATGGATATTGTGACTGTCCCCCAACAAATATATGCTCGTTTTCCTTTGGGAATTCTAAAGATTATCACTGAACATTAGAAATGTCTGCTCTTTTAGGTATGACCGGTGTAGGTATAAATTATTAAAATCACTCACATTTGTGCTTCAGTGTTAACCAGCTCAGGATCCTATGGGAGAAGGTGGACGTGCTTACCCACACTCTCTGTGGTAGGTGCATCTCTGAGGGCCGTGCCTTTGGTTTTCAGAATTTAGTTACGATTCTTCGGTGAACAGCTCCCCAGGAAAGGCAGTGGGAAATGGAGGCATTTCCCATGTTCACAGTTACTTCATGCCTTGTTCTAGAACAGGGTTATAATCCCAGCATGCGGGGCGTGACGTGCTAGTTAATGCGGCAGATGTTCGCTGGGCGTCCGCGAGGTCCGGGCTCCGGGCTGGCGTAGCTGTTCAGGCCCCGGACGCAGCGTGGACGGCAGGACGCGTGTCGGAAGGAGGTTCTCGCGCCTGGGGTGCAGTGTGAGAGCTGTGAGAGCGGACACGGGCGCGAGGGTGGGGGTCAGCTCGCAGACTGTCGTGAACCGTGGTGGGAGTTTGGAGTCTCAAAGGCAGCGGGAAGCTCCCAGGGCTGTTCTCTGCTGGGCGTCCCTGGCTGGGATTTGCATCTTCAGAAGCTCCCTAGGGCTGTGGCACAGAGGATGGGTTAGAGGTGCAGACGGAGGATGGGACCCGGAGAGACCCTCCAAAGACTCTGCCAGGAACCCGGGGACACGGTGGCCTGGGGGGCGGGCGGGGAGCAGAGCGGGGGAGCCGCAGCCACGGGAAGGGGGTGTTGGCGGCGGGATCAGCAGTGCTGACAGTTACCTGGACGCGGATACAGAAGGGGGTGGTCCAGGCTGACTCCTGGGTCCTGCTGAGCTGACGGGAGGACCGAGTGGCCATCACATGTAGGCAGGACACCAGGGGAGGGCGGGGGCGTGAGGGCTGACCTCCTAGTCCTGGTTCCGAGGCTGTGTGTCTGGACCATTGCGTCCTGGTGGCCTCGGCCGTCCTCATGCAGGGTCTGGGCTGGAGCTGCTTTGGGAAGATCCGTCAGCATCAGGATGTGGACTGGAGCTGAGACGTTCTTAGAAAGGACGTGGGTGAGGAAGGGAAGAGGAGCCCTGAGATGCGGGGTGAGCGGAGGGGACGAGGAAGTGTAGCCGGGGCGCAGTGGGAAGCTGGAAGAGCCAGCGGCGTCGAGGTCGTCGGCTGTGGGTGACTCTGCTGGGAGGGAGGGGGAGAGGCGTGTTCACTGCATGGTCCCCGCACACACGTCCAGTCCCCGAAGGTGAGGCCGCGTTAGAGCAGCAGGGGGGCGTTTTTGTGAGCCGAAAGGACAAGAACTGCTTTGAGTCCTTCTGGGCAGAAGCCAGCAGAAAGAGAGAGATGGACAGTGAAGAAGCTGGTAACGGGTGGCTGGAGGCCGGTCACGGCTGTAACCCTGGGGGGTCCGCACGTTCACCAGGCTGATTACCAGGATTTCAATTTTACTTCAACTTCAGAATTTGAAAAAATCCATTACATTTTTGTAATGTAATGACCAGATGGGACAGTAGCTGATGTCGCAGCCCCTCCTCCCCCCCCCCAGGTCGTCTGTGAAGCCTCAGCATTGCGTAGACTCCCAGCCCGCGGGGACCTGGGAACCAGGCACCCTGAGCCTTCCTACCCGCGGTCTGTTCACACGTCAACTTCCACACACAGCCGGCCCCTCCTAAAAATAAAAAGTGACACATTACGTTTCTTCCCCTAAACTCTTCGGTTCCCTTGTATTTTCTTCTTGAGGTGAAAGGAAACTAATTAAATATTTTTCAAATGTAATTCTGGGCTTCCCTGGTGGCGCAGTGGTTGAGAGTCCGCCTGCCGATGCAGGGGACACGGGTTCGAGCCCTGGTCCGGGAAGATCCCACATGCCGCGGAGCGGCTGGGCCCGTGAGCCATGGCCGCTGAGCCTACGCGTCCAGAGCCTGTGCTCCGCAACGGGAGAGGCCACAGCAGTGAGAGGCCTGCGTACCGCCAAAAAAAAAAATGTAATTCTATTCAGAATTAATCTTACTGATCAAAACACACTGAGGCTCTGGCGACTTGAGCCCGCTGCAGGACGTGGGATTCTAAGGTGAGGGCAGCTCAGACGCATGTCCACTTGTTCCATTGAAGGGTTTGGATTGTCTTGGCATCTGTCATAGTATGGATTTTATCATTCCTTAAAATGTTGGAAAGAAGTGAGGTTTAAAGCATGTAATATAAAATACTCTCCAAAAAACATTTTTAGTTTTTAATCTTTAGTACTCGGTGCCTTTAGTGAGTTAACAAACGTGCTGTTGCCCGTCTGTGGAAGGTTGGAGGACGCATGTTCCACATTTCCTTTGTGTCGGTTGCTTTGCGGTTTTCGTTGATGTAAGCAACTGTACTCTTGATGTCACCCAAGTGACAGGAAGCAAGACGCTATCTGGAGAGGTGACGTTCTTAAGGTTTCGTTTACTGATCTAAGCAAAACCAGCACAAACAGCCGGTATGGCATCTTCGGTCTCTCTTCGAAGGAAACGAGTCAACACAGGGCAAATTTCTCACCTCAGGCAATGGAGGGTCTGAAGAGAAATCCAAGAAAGGGCCCAGGGTATGAGCCTGACCCTCCACCGGATCCACGTGGCCTCCTAGACATGGTAAGTTGTTTTTGTTGTTTAAAAAATAATAACGATTTTAAGAAAAGCTACTTTCCCTCAAGGCGGGGTGGGGGGGTCTTCCGTCTCCTCTGTTTTCAGAGCCCCCCGCCTGCTGCTGTTTCCTCAGCAGATGCTGCTGTCACGTCAGACATGCCCCAGTGCTGTGTCGAATGCAGCCTGTGCCTCGCCGAGTATAGGACAGGTTCGGCTTCCTTTGCAGAAATCCCAGGAAACCAAGGCAGCAAGGGGGCATCGTGACTTCTCCGGGCACCAGGGAGGTGGAAGTGCCAGGAGGCATCTTTTTCTACGAGTCAGGTGGCCCAGTCAGGCCCTCCCGTTTGGCCAGTCCCAGCGACCGGCCGAGCACCCTTGGGTCCGGCACTCAGAGTTTTCTGAAGTGTCCTTCTGAGGTCATTTTCAACACACACAGAAATCTACAATCCCTTTCGGAGAGCGCATTAATGCAAAAGGATGGAAATGTTTGAATGAGTCCATTTTTATTAAGGATAATTTTACCAAAAAAATAAAAATCATTACGATGCTTAGAAGATTTCTCCACTACATTTAAAAACAATCCTTTTAAAGTAGTCCGTTACCATTAGAAATGAATTCACTGATGGCCACCGTTTCCAAACCTGGATCTTTCATGCTAAAGAAGCAAGTTTGCCCATTGGCTCGGAATTTCTGCCCTCCGATGAGGCCCCAGGGACTCTCGTCCCTGCTGAGCGATGATTTTAGTCTGTGTCCAGCGTGTGATTTAAGTAATGTCTGTAAAAGTGCCTGCACTTCTGAAGAGACCTCTGCCTCTGGGGCATTTGGCCGGCTTCAGTCAGCACAGGCCGGCATCGTGTTTAGCTCATTTATGGAAAACGGCGGCAGCTGTAGCTTCTGTAGCCTGGGCGGGGTGGCAGTGTGAGGGCAACGCCCGGGCACTTCCCGGCTGCCCTGCGGTGGGAACAGCAGGTACCTGGACCCGGAGATGCTCTCCTGTTAGGGGCTCAGCACGACCCACGTGTCTCCTAATTGAGCAAAGGCACCACTCCATGCCAGACCTGGTGAAAACGACCTTGGTATGCTGAGTACACATTAGAACACCCGGGGAGTGCGAGCTCTCAGGACTACTTTGTTTTGCTGATGGAAACGTCTTCTGATCTGGGTTTCTTTTTAGGTGGCTGTGTGCTAGAAGATTTCACCACATCTGAGAAGCCAGACGCTGGACGTGGACGGGAAGGGACCACTTCTCAGTATTGGAGTCAGTTCCTCCTCAGGTTAAACCACAAATCCCTCCCGAGAGTGGAGAGAGAGCCTTGTCTTCGGAGAAGGGCGATGGTCTTGTGCTTGTCTCTGAAGCATCCCTTTGCCACCGGAGTGTTGTCGCTTTGAGGACCAATGCAGTTATGGCTTGGGCCTCAAGAAATGAATGAAAGTATTGTTCACAATTGTGTATTTGGGCGTGATTTTCAAGATAAATAAAACATCACGATGCCTTCATCTGCGTCGCGTGTTCTGTCCTTAGCGCCAGTGTCCTCGTGGCCATCAGGCTGCCTTTGAGGAGACAAGGACTGCCAGGCTGTGAGCACGTGACGGACTGGCAGGTGACTTAGCTGAGCAGAGGGGCGGGCTTGGGGGGCACCTCTCAGCACCCCGCCCGCACGCGTGGCAGCGGACCTCGGAGTGCCAGCCCCCTCTGAGCTCCAGGCTGTGCGCCCAGCGGCTAGTGACTGAAATGATGAACGGGACCCTCACGGCAGGCACGTGGG